ATGTACATTTCAGATGGAAGGCATTATTGGGCCATCCTTGATTTTGTTTACCCTGATCTCTCCCATGGCACAGGCATCCCCGCCGCCAGTAGCTTACTTTCCCAGTAAGAAGGATAATGTATTTATATGTAATCAAGTGTCTGACCTACTTCAGCAGTGTGAACACAACACACAATGTTTGGAGTCATGTACTCCCCAGGGAGAAGGGGCGGGACAGACAACTGCAGCTGTGCAATTGTCCCAAACCCTTTTGTCTGGTTTCCGCATTCAGCAATCATTTAGCATTATTATTTTGCTTTTGTTGTCTTTTAGGAAGAGGAAGGGAATTGATGTGGGAATTTCTGTGACGATGCAGTGTGGAAAATGGCTCAGCACTGCCTTGTGGGGGAGACCGCTTGCCTCTGCCCAACACCAAAAATTCCTACCAATCTCGAGCCTACAGCAATGGACTTCTGGCCGCAGGGTTTTCTGTCCCAGCAGTGTGACTCTAATTCTTTGAGTTTTATATGTGTGTGACCACAGCCATAGCTTCTTGTGAGGACTTCTGGCCCGTATCTCTAGGCCCCTGCAAAAGAGAAGAAAAAGCCACACTCATGACTTCATTTGGACTGTGACAAATTCCCAGGATCTCCTGGTTCTTGACCCAGGAGTAGTGAACTGATTTACTGTCTGGTTTCAACATGCCGAGATTGTTCTCAGAATCTGCCTCTTTTTTCCTTTAGCCCAGTCAGTCAGCCTGGCTCAACTGGGAGAAGTTCATCTGAGTACCACCATCTCTTCCCTCTTTGTCTGTGTGCTTTACAGATGGGTTTTTGCGTATGGTAGCCACCAGCCACGTGTGGCTATTCAAATTAAAATGAACTGAAATTAAACACAACTAAATGGTTGCTCAGTTGTGTTTGGTGTATGTCTGTGCTTAATGTGGTCAGGGGCTACTGTCTGAGACAGAGTGGGTAGAGACCGTTTCCATCCACATGGAAATTTCTGTCGAACCCTGTGGCTTTGTCATGTCGCAGAATCCCAAGGGTCATGTCCTCTCTTCGCACCTCTGTGGTTTCCTGTGATGTGCTTCGCCCACCCTAGAGGGTGAGCTAGTGGAGCGCAGGGACCACACTGGCTGTGTTGCTTCTTAAGTCTGGGCAGGGATAGCTCATTGTTGGTGCCCACTCACTGGATATCAAGTCCATGAGCGGATGGGTGGACAGACTGGAGGATTGCATTGTTCTTAGTGAATGGGGACCCAGAGTCATCTCTTATATGAGGCAAAGTCACCCCGTTAAAACCTCATCTTGGACCTCATTGCCTGGTTTTAAAAACAATCACAAATACACAGAGTCCCAAAACAGATGAAAAAGAGACAGCGCCATTGGTTGAAGATGGACTTTAGCCATGGCCCTGTGATGTCTTGCAGTGTATTGTAGGGCCCGAGGGCCTAGTAATTTCTAGACAGAAGTCCTTTAGGAGCTCTTAGGAAGCTGAGAACCACCTCTATGGGTCAGGCTAGGTGGGGCTCTTTAACCTGTCAGTGGAGGACAGAGCGTTTGTCTTGTTGTTCAGCAGGTCTTGGGCGTAGCTACGCTGGTGTCTCTGTCAGTGCAGAGCAAACCAATTCCAAACTGAGTTTATGACCTGGAATTCAATGCTATCCTTGATGCCTGCAGCTTTTCACTTTTGTGAGCTGTAGAACAGACAATAAAGTAACCTCTGTGGGTTTGAGAAAACAAAAAGAAAAAAAATCTTTGTCTTTCTTCCTCCTTTCTTGGCGTGTTCTCTTAGAAAGAAAGAAAGGAAGGAAGGAAGGAAGAAAGAAAGAAAACAACAACAAATCATCCTCCCTCATTTAAATTCCAAAGAAAGAAGATGGGCAAGAACTTACAAGTAACTTACTAAACGTTAACTAGTTTAGTTTTCTTCAGAGTAACCCTATGAGGCACGGTATATTAGTATCCTCATTTTATGGATGAGAAAACTAAAACCCAGGGAAGTCAGGTGACTTTGGCAAGATTCAGTGGATGCAGTGTCTTCCAGGGCTCCGTACCCGGCCTCTCTGCAGAGCCACACTTCTACTCTCTGTGCTGCACTACCTTTCCTTGTGACAGAGCCACAGCATGAGCAGAAACACCGACCCAGCTGCAAAAGTGAGCTTGCAAAGCCAAGAGCCCACTGCCGGCCAGACACCAAGCGAAGACCTCTGGGTACTTCAGGCCCTTGGTGAGGCACTCCTCATGAGTGTCCCTGTTCTGGGGTGTGGCAAGGACGGGGCGCTCTGGCTGCCTCTGCCTACTGAGTGATGCAATAGGGAAGGTGGAGGACAGGGTAAGAGAAGGCCAAGGCTCAGATACTAAAGGAGGGAGTGATCCGGGGGTGCGCTAGGGTGGCCGGAGCCTAGGAGATGAAATGTTATCCTCACTGTCTAGGTGCTCAGAGTTGGGAGATTCCGTGGTTAATCAAATCACACAAGTTAATTCATTGTGACAAACTGTTAAGAGCCATGAAGGAAGAAAGAGCTGTGAGAAGTGATTCCAGGGGCTTACCCTCTCCTGCAAGCATCAGGGGAAATCCCTAGAAGAGATGGTACAAAGCCAAGTCTGGAGTAGGGCGAGGGGGGCATCCGAGGACCTGGGCAGCTCCCTGGAGAGGCGGAAAGCAGGCCAGAGAGGTGAGTGACTGTCAGAGAGCCAGGGGGACAGAGAAGTCAGAACAGAGGCCGGGAGGGGGCCCAGGGTGGATTTTACTGGAAAGGAGCGTGTGTGGAGGTCCCAAGAGCAGTGGGATAGCGCTCTAGAGTTTTAAGCAGGGGCAACCAGAGAGGTGCTGAAACCAAGGGAATGTGCAGGTGGATGTGTTTTTACCCATCTCTCTGTGTGGCGAGTGGGGAGGCTGTGGACTCCCTCTGCATCTGACTTCCTAGCCACTTCCTTTGAACCCTCGAACACTAGACTGTATCCAGTGCTGTGCTCATGAGACGTGATCAGGATGGTCCCCTTTGAGCCTTGGCGAGACTCAGGGCTGACCTGTGAGGGTGACGAGAGGCCCCATTATACTGCCCACCCTGACAAGGCCCATGTTTTAGGTTGAGTCTCAGCTGCTGCCTCTCCAAGGTAATTAGCCAGCTCCCAGGCATGAGGTCAAGGTAGCAGGAGGGATTGGTTTTACAGCAGGACTATGCCCTGTGTAGTGTTGGACAGGTGCTGGGGGAATCTCTTGGGAGTTGGAGTAGGGTGAGGATGGCTAGGGGTTGGGGATGGGCTTGGGTTGGGGTAGGGAGAGTGTTTTCATCCCTCTTTTGAAGACCAGTGTGGAAGTAACTTCGGATCCTTCAATACTGTTGTTAAAAAGGATCAACAACTTCTCACCTATTTGTGTCATACAGTGGGCCTGTAATACAGCTGAAGCAGGACTGTAGTCACACCTCTCCCATACCTTTGAGCCTGGTGTGATTATACAGTCAGCTCCAGAATGACCGAGGGCCACAGGTGCGTGCATGCATGGCATTGCCAGGTGTCGCTCTCTCCAGCCCTGCTGAGAGGGCTTCAGTGTCCCCAGGGCTCTGCTGTGGTGTGTGGATGAGAGCACAGCTCACTCTCTAGGCCCAAGGCCTGTAGCCTCATCGTGGGTTACTGGATTGTGTGGGTCCAATGGCTGTTCCCCAGCTATACCATATGGTTAACAGAGAGTTCACTGACAGAGAGGTTCAAGGTCAAGTAGGTTTGGAAGCTGTCGCATCGTATATGTGCCTTGACCTGGTCTTTGATTGCTGTGCAGTGAATGACCACAAAACTTAATCTGATAGATCATTATCACCCCTCACAGTTCTGTCGGCTGACTGGGCTCCGCTGGGTGGTTCTTGCCAGGGTGTCTCATGGAAGTACTTTCTTCTCTGTGAATTGCGTTTAGTTGACAGGTGGGCTGGGCTCATCAGATGGCTTCATCACACTCAGGTCTCTGTGCTGTGGTTGCTTGGGCATTTCTCTGTCTGTGTGGTTTTGGTACCTGCTGACTTGGATTTCCTCCTGGCATGCTGGTTTCAGGGTTGTCAGGCATCTTACAAGGTGACTGGTTCCCCCCAAGTGAGCACTGCAAGAAAGAAGCTGCAAGGCTTCTTCTGACCTTCCCCGGGAGCCCCCCAACATTGTGTCACAGCACTTTACTGGTCAGGCAAGCTCCTGAGGCTGGCCCACACTTACGTTTGTCTCCAAAGCCCAGTAGCAGAAGTGGCAAGTAATTTGCAGGTATCTTTAATGTGGTATGCCTCTCGAAGATTCACTGTGTGAAAGAATATATCAAAAAGATGTCTGCGAACTCCTGGATTAAAGAAATCTGTTTAAGTCAGCATTTCCCAAGCTGATTATCACTGCTGTTTTTAAAATCAGGAAATACCTTTCTCATAGAATATCTCTGTATTCTGCCAGATAGCAGTGGACAGAAATGGAAGGATGGTAGATTTGGAGTTCCATGTTAATATCTAATGAATAAAACTTTTCCAAAGATGGAAGTTGGAAGTTGATCAATTCTTTATTTGAGAAGGCAATCAAAGAGACGTGGCACGACCATCTGCATGGATGGAGAGACCAAATATCCTAGAGGTTAAAGCTCTGATTTTATTTCCAACAGATTTAGATTCAGATTCATCTTCCCCTCTTTACAGCTCTGGGACATTATACCCGCCGTTCTCCCTGGCTTCAACTTCCTTATCTACAGAATGGACAGTTTCTGTTACACAGAGTTGCTGTGCCGAATAGCGAGGTCCTGCATGTGGATTCCTTGGCACAGTTCCTGGTCGTGGTCAGTAAATGTTAGACATCATTGTTCTGATGTGTGGAGGAAGCCTTCCTTGGTTAGACTTGCATTTGCTCAGTTCCCATCACCTCTGGGGTTTTATAATTGAGTTTATTTGAGACTTGCCTGCCCAGGCAAACCAGTACTACAAGTCATGAACCTTTTCCCACTTTTCTTACAAAAGTAACCTCTTCATCCTTTCATGTTTTCCCCCAATCTAGTTTCTAATAAGTGACCGGGACCCTCAGTGCAACCTCCACTGCTCCAGGACTCAGCCCAAACCCATCTGCGCCTCTGATGGCAGGTCGTATGAGTCCACGTGTGAGTACCAGCAAGCCAAGTGCCGAGACCCCACCCTGAGTGTGGTCCATCGAGGTCGATGCAAAGGTGAGTGCATGCCTTGCCCAGCCCATGGGAAGGTGCTGGGACCAGCTTCCTACACTGTGCAGTCACTGCAGGGGGCTCAGAAAGTGTCTGTTCGTTTGGTTTGCTGTCCTCTCTGTCCTTCTCATCAGGGATTATGGGAAGGACAGCTGGTCTACCTGAAGGTACACGTACCTTCCTTGTCTTCTGGATGCTGCTACCAGCCTAGGCCTTAGATGCGCTACTCTCTGGCTAGTTCTTTGTTATTTGCTTTTGTTTTTGTTTTAAAAAGAGGGTACAAGGCATTATTTCTGGCCCTGAACAGCGATTACAAATTGTTGGCCAACAGATGTGTTTTGTTAAAAACGTTTCAGACAATATTTAAAAACTGAGGAAATTCAACATAAAAATCTGTCTTTTGGAACTTTTCTTTCAAAATTGGGAGTCCTGGCCCCCTTAGCTTTGCAATGCAGCAGATGGCTAGAGCAGAGTAGCCTCTACCCCCGACAGGTGAGTCTGTTTTCCAGTTTGCCATAGTCCTCGGCGCTCAGGATGGAATGCCCTCTTCTCATCCTCAGTTGATCTCACATTCCTAAGTCCTATAGATATTTGAGTTTGAGAGCCTGGGTTGCTTAGTGCAGGAATTAGAGGAGTTAAAGGCTGAGCAAGCTGCCTTGGAACGCTTTATTTTCTAAAGAAAGTACTGGTGATTCTAGAACTCCAAGATAGCCAATCAGATGTCACTAGCCACTGTCCTCTGGACAGACATTTTGGTGGTACGTGTGGCTCCCTGAATGGAGGGGGTTTCTCTCAGCATTCTTGTCTCTGGGCAGCCATTTTGTACCATGGCTCCCATGTGGAATTCAAGTGAAATATGAAATATGCTCCTCTCTCCTTTTAGATGCTGGCCAGAGCAAGTGTCGCCTGGAGCGGGCCCAAGCCCTGGAGCAGGCCAAGAAGCCTCAGGAAGCAGTGTTTGTCCCAGAGTGTGGTGAGGATGGCTCCTTTACCCAGGTGAGGCCTAGGACTTTTCTCTCAGGCTGCTTGCTGGACTGAGGCGCAGGGAGGTGCCTGCGGAGTCCAGCCCTCAGGCCACTGGACACTTTCATTATCTAGGGAACAGTGAGTGCTTGGCTCTTCGACTCCTCTCTGTGCAGCCTTCCCCCTCCTGAGCCCTCCACTACACCTCTTGCCAACTGGCATTGGGCCCTGACAAGATGCATGGAAGTCAGAGCCAGGAGACTGGCATGGCTTGGTCCCATCTTCCCTGCCGGCCATCTCTGCTGAGGGCCAGACCTGCGTTTTTCTATTCTGTCCAAAGTGGGCTGGTTGTTTTTTCTTATCCTTGCCAGTTTCCATGGGCAACCCCTGTATTCGCTTCGCTGTTTATTGCTGCCCCTTTGTACTCTCTGCTTCCTACCCATCTCTGAATGAAGCAGACCCCTCTTGGAGCACGGAGTACACATGGCTCTTGGAGTGTGTGTATATGTGTGTGTGTGTGTGTGTGTGTGTGTGTGTGCGCGTGCACAGACACAGGCCTGGGTGTGTGTGCACTCAGATTTTAAAATATTTTTAGGCAGTTCCACCTGTCTAAAACTCTGCGTGATCTTCTGGTTAACGCTTTGTGTAAAGGTAAAGCTGCCTGTGTTGATAGTACAGACTGTTTCTGGAACACACCAGGGTTGGACAAGAAGTTGCTCCTTAGGGAAATTTCTAGGCTCCCTCTGCTCCCATTTGTAGAGGGGCCTGGGGTGGGAGGCAGCAAGCTTCTTTGAGTCAGGATGCCATGCAGGAAGTGGCGCAAAGGCTTGCCATGATGGAGCTCAGGAAGGACCCTGACCCTGGACAGGGTGAGCTGGGCCTGGTTGGGGATGGTCCTGGTGTTTGTGACTTCTGGGAGAGCAGCATTTGGGGGAATCCATTATCCCAGAGTAGGGGGCAGAGGCTTTGGGTGTTTAAAAGCCTCTCTGTAATTCTGGATCAACAGGGCGAAGGGTATAAGCTGGACTTGGGTCGTGGGCTTGCAGGTTTCACTCTGGGTTGGGTGTGGGAGATTGCTGCTTTCAGACTGACTGCAGGTGGGTAGAAATGTAGGAGAGTGGTGGGATAGAGGTTGAATATCCATGTGTTAAAATTTTCCCAGTTGATTTTAATGTACAGCCAGGCTCAAGAGCACTGGGATAAACTGGACTTGGCCGCCAGCCTGGGGAAGGTGCTTTTTATTCATTTTCTTGTTTAAATTTTAGCACAAGCCCAGAGGTGGGTGTCGTTACCTCCACTTACGAGTGATGCACCCGTGGCAGGATGTGCAGTGCAGAGCTGGGGTTCCAGCCCCGACTCCCCCAAAGTCCTGTGGAACCTGCTGTTCAAAGGAGGCTCTGAGGCGAGCCCTGGGTGAGGCGGTGTGGGTCTGTGGTTAGCAGGCGGCTCCTGGAGCCAGACTGCCTGGGCATGAGGCCAGCCCCACCAGTGAGCTTCTTGGGGCCACCGTTCCTTATCTGAAAAAGGAGGGCAATTATCTCCATTATTAGTATAGGCTATACATATGTTAAATTTTATTATTAACATTGTGTCATATATATTACATATTGATCCTATGGTATATTATGTATTACTGTTGTCATCAGCAATATTCTTAGTAATGATTATTATTGTAGCATCCCTCATGAGCTTGTGGAGAATCCCGAATGCAGGAACATTCGCAGGGTTGTTGGAACATACGAAGGCCATGTGCATGTTTGTCACTACCCTCACCATGATTCCTGTCTCTCCTGTGGCTCTACTACTCAGATCTCCTTAAGATTTTATGGATGATACCACTTAAGGAAGAAAAACCCAAAGTCATTTGTCAGAGCTCCCCAAGTGGGCTGGGGATATAGCTCAATGGCACAGTACCTGCCTGGCAAGCGCAAGGTCCTGAGTTCAACTCTTGATACCAGAAAAACAAAACAAGACAAAACAAAACAAAACAAAACAAAACTCTCCAAATGTAGCAATTGATTGATGAGCTGTCTCATCCACTTTTAATGTATGGTTTATTCTAGTAAAATGAATGTGGGTGATCTTTGCGTACATTTGACACTGTTGCCGAGCCCCCTGGGGGAGGAATTCAGACCTTTCTCAGATTACCTTGGGGCTGAGACAGGATAAATGATGCAGGGGAGGGTACAGTGGGCAGCAGCAGTTTCTCTCCTTCTTGGGGCTTGTGTGATCCTGGGTGCACTGTCTATGAGAATGATTGAACCTTGTCCTCCTAATGCTGCAGTGTCTGCGGCCTCGGGATGGGCGGCCCACTGGTCACCTTTTGTTTTGGTGAGGCCAGGCTGGGCCCTGTGCTGTTTGCCGAAGGAAAGGAACTTGCAAACTAGTCCAGGCTGAGCTGCTAGGTGAGTGTGCGCCCCAAGCTCAGCAGAGGCCGTACGGGCAGGTCCTTGCCCCTTTGACACCACGCTAAGCACTGCCATGTGAACGCAGGCTCAGGCGGGCTCACCTTGTGAGCAGCCAGACAGCCGGACAGCCAGACAGCGGCCCATCCTAGCTCAAGTGATTGAAATAGATGTGCTTTCCCCCATCAAAGACGCTGCAATAACTTCCCCAAATGAGGCTGCCTCTGTGAGCGAGCCTCGGTCACACTGACAGGCTGCCAGAATGCCTGGAGACAAAGCCTTTCCTCCTCCTCCCTCCCTCAGCCATCACTTAGCAGGACTTTTTCTCCCCCAAGACCAAAATATACTGCTTTACTATTTCTTAGAATATTATCGTGTCGGTGTCCTGGTGTTAATAACATATCTTAGCCCTGGGAATGATTACACACCCTCTTGGAGTTTGTGGAGGGGATAATAGGGCTGTAATGGGATTGGATTTGTCTGGTATGGGACACAGCTTGTGGCCACATGACTGGGTTGGCTTTAATAGGGTCCATGTGGGACTCAATGGCTTCTCTTCTCTTTCTTTGTTACCCCTTGTCTTCCTTCCTTCCTGTGCTGACCCCAACACCCCCATCTCTCTCTCTCTCTCCCACACACACACACACACACACACACACACACACACATACAAGCTCATCTTACTTCCATAGCAGTGACACTAAAGCTGCATTTAGACTACATAAAGTTCTTTAATGTTAGTAACCACACTACATCACAAACCATTCAGTCAGATTCTGGGGATGGGACCCAGACACTGTATTTTTTAGAGCTCCCTGGGTGATGGGAGTGTTTGGCCAAAGTTTTGAACCACTGTTGGAAGGCTTCATTTCTCATTTCGTGACCATGTCATTGAAATACGGATTGAAGGCACTTTGGTGACCCATTAAATCAGGACGGACAGGCTTCATCTTTTGCTGTGATCTTATCTGTTTCCTCTTCTGGGTATTGGGAACATAATTTCTGGCATCTCTTCTACCATGTTTTCTGCCTGGGACTCGTCGGCCCGTGCCTCACTGAGTAGCAATGACTCTGAATTGGGTGCTGGCTGACACTTAGTTTTATACTTAGTACTTATCTCTATGACCTCTTAAGGTAGTTACTATGATTTCTCTCTACAGAGAGGAAAACCGAGTTTCAGAGAGGGTGGACAGCGTTGTGAGGTCCCTGGGCTAGGAGGATTTCTATTCAGGTCCGCCTCACTTTAAGGCTAGTGCTCTGAACACTTTGTACCGCAGAAGTGGCCTTGACCCATGTGTTCCATTTGCATCACCGCTGTTACCCCAGAAGTTCCCTCTGTTGTTGCCCAATCAATTAAATACACATTAAAGAATCTTTTGATTATGGGAAAATTTAAAAACCCAGAAGTAGGCATAATAGTGTAATGAACTCCGTGTACCCATCTCGGGCTTAACCGTGATTGACATGTGGTCAGTCTTGTTTCATCTTTCCCTCATTTTCATCTCCCACCCCAAACTGAATTGCTTCAAAGCAGCTCCCCAGGCACGATATCTTTTTATCCCAAACAGACGCTTTTGAGCTCCAGTGTGTTCTGGGCTGGTTGCTATGGGGGATTTAAAAAATGTCATGACCTCTGCCTTCAAGGAGTGGTGCTCCTTAGGGAAACTTCCTTTAGAAAAGATATTAAGACAAATGATAAAGTACTGCATAAGAGATGATATATATATATGATTAGTGTACATATTTCAAAAAACCTATTCACAAGTCATTGAGTTAGAATTCAGAAATGTGTTTAGCTGTCAAGAAAACATATATAAATTTAAACTTGCTGACCATAAACACCTTAAACCAAACTAGGAAGCCAGTGGTACACATGAGCTTGGATGAGAAAGAACTAATCTTATATAAACCACTGCCACCATTTGGAAAGAAAAGAACCTAGTAGAAAAGTGGGCAAGAGATACCCATAAGCAGAGCACACAATAACTTTCCAGTAGCAGGATATGAGTGGTGTCACCTTCTCTAGTAATTAAAGAAATAGAAGTAGAAACACTGATGGATTATTTTGCTTACCAATTTGATAAAGACTGGAAAAGATGGTAATATTCAGGGTGGGCTAGAGAAAAAAGGCTACCTTTACATTGTAGTTGGAAAATAAGTTGGCACTGTTTTTTTATTGGGGTGATTTTGCAATATTGATCCAAAGTCCTTACTGGACCCACCTTTTGGCCCACCTGCAATTTCACTTCTAGGAATTGATTTTAAGGAAACAATTTAAAATGTGTGAAAATGTTTAGCCACAAGAATTTGCATTTAAGTTCTATTTACAGTAGTAAATATTTGGAAATAACTTAAATAATAGATAATTGTGTAAATAAATTATGACAAAGCCACACTGTGCAGCTCCTAAAATGATATAGTGTGGAGATTTATTTTACATATGTGTGTATGAATGTGTATCAGGGACTTGACCAAATAATTAAAAGAAAAATATTTTCTTCTTTCTAATAGAAAAATCTATTACTCTGTAAAATAAATTTCAGATAATATAGAACTGCATATGGTATAAAGATAAAACCAGTGATTTTATGTTCTTGAGAGAGGAACAATTAAGTGTATTACATTCTA